TATTTAATTCATAAATGATTATGATAAATAAATAAAATTAAATATATTAAAATAATCCCTAAAAACTCTTTCTTAAAAAAAGCTTTTAAAAATATTTTTGGACAATATAGTGATTTGTATTTCATATATAAGATTGACATGTGATAAAATTCTATAAAAATTAATTAATAATATTATATTATTAAAGAATGATGTAAACTTTTAAAACTATCCTTATTTAAAAGGGGAAAACTTAAAAATTACAGTTATTTAAGTGTTGTTCGTACAGATCTCATTACAATTGCATTTTTTATTCAGTAATCTTCATAATTTTTTAATTTAAATTTTATTATGCAAATTAGCAACATAAAACTCAAATTATAATTGAGTAACAATACAAGCAACACCTACAAAACTGTGCTTAAGTTTTGTACTAATCAATACCATTCTATTAATTTCTTCCGTAACCTTAATTGTCTTTCTAATATCTCATTAATTAATTTCAATATAGTGATATTAATATACAAGTAACTATTCACGTATGCACATTTAAATGTATAATAAACATTATTTCTTTAACCATCTGTCATATTTATATAAAATATATATATATATATATATATATATATATATATTAAACAGAAGGTACGAAGCTAAGTATAATCTATAAAATTATTAAATTTTCAGAAGTTTTAAAATATAACTTTCTTTTTTAATAATAGTAACGACAACATCGAATAAGGTTCCCTTTGAAAATCAGATCAGTCAAACTAAATAATGAAAAATATTAACAATATAAAATAGACACATGCTTTTTTATATACATCATTTTGAATCCTGTTAACGAATAAGTAGAGTTTGAGTATTAAATATCTTGCAAGACTTGCATCATTTAAGAAAAGTTAATAAAGAAGGGTCTATATCTGAATTAGAGGTTAGTATAATTGAATTTTAAGAAAATTACTTTTAAATTATTGAATACTATTAAAATGTATGCTTAAAACAAGATTAAATCAATCATTTGATTTCATAATTACAAACCTCTTTTTAATGTATTATATCTAAAAATTCTATATTTTAGTTCTTATAGTCTTATAACCGTATAAAACAGCTACAAAATGAAAATATAATTTTAAAGAAAAATTACTCATGTAAGGACTACAACTATAACATAGAGTTTTAAGTATACGAATTAAAACAAAAATTGACTCAAGTTGAGAAGCCAAATAATTACGTAAATCCTTAAATTAATTGGAGCTACATATTTTTAATTTAATCTTATTTATATTGGAAAATGTGCTTTTTCTTAGAAACTATGAAAGTTAACTTTCTATTTTACTCTTGTTATGTTACAGATTTAAATCTGCATCCTTGAACGAGATATTATTGACTAAGAATATTTTTACGAATTATTCACATTTTCATTAAGTCACCTATCTTATCCTAATTTTATATATCGAGCATTTAGTTACTTTTTTACTTTTTAAATTTTTAATCCCTTTAAACACACTTTTAATTTTAAATTTAAATTAAGTTAACCAATTAGCCCACATAAATTATATTCAATCCCAAAGCAACCTCCTTTTATTTTTATTAATTACCAAATTTTCTTACATAATTATTTAATTTCTTTCAAATTATCTTTTTCATGTTTATTTCTAAATTAAATTTCAACTTTTAAAAGAAATTATCAGTAATTAAAAATAAGCTAGTATTACAATATAAATTGATTATTGTAAATCTAAAATATCATGTATATGTTTAAAAATACTTATTTATTACTAGTTTTTGCTATAATATAATGTTTATACTAATAAAATATAATTCATCAATATAAAGTATGTTGAAAAAAAAATGATGCAAGTCATTACTATATTCTCCAAAAAAAAAATAAAACAAATGTTAAGAATAATATTGATGAAGAAAATAAAATTTAAAAATTACATAATATTAAAATTTTATATCTAAAACATAAAGAAAATCATTCAATGTTTATTTTTTAAAAAACTAACATTTAGAGTTCTCTTTACTATATAACCCATAATAAAAAAATATTGATTGAAAAGTAGACAGAATAAGAGGTATCAATCATGTAATTGGGAAGAAAAACAACACAAGTTTGAATATGAGATATTCAAATTCTGTTTTAAGTCAACTACTTGGAATGATACTGGTGTGAGTTTTTTTATTTCAAATCCGTATACTAACATTAATTTAAAATTCTATCAGTACTAATTTTCATTCACAAGATGATTGTAATTAGCATTCAAAAAGTGAAATAGAAAGTTTTCTGTCCGTTCATCTTATAACAGGGTAAAATATAATTATGGCCTTGACTAGTTACTTTTGGTAGGTTTAGGGCTTAGGGTTTAGGGTAAAATATAATTAGCATTCTGTCCGTTCATTATTATGTAGTCTGAATTCTGCATTTTGTTAGTTAGACATAAAAGACAGCAATTGCAAGCAAATGAAGCGAATAGTTTAAAATCAACTGTTGTAGCAGATATTTTGAAATTAAACGATGATATGCAAGTAAGTAGGTAGAAGTATTGATTCATAAAGTTGAAAAGTGAAAAGATTAATGAAGAGAGAGTAACCTGGATCATCAAGACCACATTTAGCAGAATGAACTCTATCGGTGCAGAAGCACCTGAAAGCGTAGACACGTGGATCCAAATCGAAGCCGCACCTCCCTCCGGTGCTGGTGCACGTGTTGCAGTCACTGGCCGTCCACGTCAGCAGTAACCCTTTTCTCAGCGATTCTCGAATCCCTCCTATTCCATCTGCCACCGTCGTCGTAGCCACACCCTCGCCCGTGCAATTCTCTGTCACAGACCTTATATTCTTATCCTCTTCATACAATGCCACAACTGAACTCGATTCCTTTTCTGCATAGCACCCAACTCTGTGCTCTTCCAGGGAAGATGATAAGTCACAGCCGTAGAACAATATCACGCCCTTTTGGTTCGGAGCAACACTGAACAAGTTACCGGTGGTGAGATTCTGGGTACGAGGAAGACAAGGTTTGGTGGTGTTTGGTGGTGGATTTGAAAACGCAAGATTGGACACCCGAAGTGTCTTGTTTTGGTAGAATATTTGGTGGATGATGTATTGGGTATTAGACAAATTGAGGATTGGGAAACCACTTGGATCACAAGAGATGCCAAAACCAGGATAGCCGCAAAAGGGCTCTTGTATTCCTTGGATGTAAAACGGATAGCTTATGTTTTGGTTGCCGCAGGTTTTGGAAGGACATGCGTCGAATTTAGGGTCAACAGAACACGAAATGTTTGTGGCAATGAGGTAGAAGAGGACGATGTGGGAAAGAATGAGGGGAGAAGAGAAGGGTTTGAGGATAAAGAAAAGGGTGTTTAGGTTCATTTTGGAGGGTTTGTCAAGTTGTGAATGAAAACATTGAATAAGGAGAAGAGAAGTATACCAAAAATTGTGAATAGAGAGAGGATATAGCCGCCTACAGGTTTGACCTTCTAATTGTCTGACATCTTTGAGTGAAAAGGATTTCTCTAGCTGTTTCTCCCTCTAATCTTTCAATTATTCATCTTCGCCAACAAAGACCATGTTTTTTTTTATATTTATAAATAAAATAAAATGGAAGCTCTCCTACATGCAAGTTGAAAAAATTGACCTTGCTTCCAACTATGACCTCTCCTTTAATTGGACTTGGACTTGGGTAGAGGAGGGGTGGGAGAGCGGGCCTTAGACACCAGCAAAATTTAATGACTTTTTTAAATTCTAAGTATCCTAGTCGTACGGATCGTCTTGGCAACAAATTAATCAATCAACTTAGTCATAAAAGTTCATATCATACATTTAAATTTTTGTGTCATTATAATTTTAATGGATAAAAAATATATATATATAACTTTTTTTAAGAATTTTTTAGGAGATACAAAAGAAAGAGGGAGGCAAGTCTTGGATAAAATAGTAAAGAAAAATAGTGTCATAAAAAGTGTTATAAGAAAGAGTTATGTGAATAATATTTTTTTTAATGAATTACCTATTACCTCTCTTAATGATCTCATGTCTAGTTGAGCATGGCATATTTACTTTATGAAATAGGACATAATATGTTTTGAGTTGCAATAATTGTATTTGTGGTTTCATTTCCAAAAATGTCTAGTCATTAATAATCATGAGACAAGAGAAATGGTGATCTATATTTAGTTTTAATTTGGTAATTTGTGAGTATCATTCGGCTTCGTTTATAGTAACTCTCATAAAATGATATATTCTTCTTATATAGTTACAAATTTTGTTTTAAAGTTTCGTCAGTGTGTTGACCAATTTTAGCTGTGGATCAAAAGTCAAAACGAATGCTATGAAGGATAAAGGAAATTTTTATTGTGGGCCTAATTCAGCCTAAACAGGGCCTAGCCTCTCGACCGACAAGAATAACTAAATCGGGCCTTTAACTAGTGTATAAGTTCAGGACAATGACACACATTTGACCCAAATTCTTGGATAGTATCACTTCTCTCCCCGTCCTCACCGAGACAAAATATATTTTAGAGATAAAATGGGCAAATTTATTATTTTTAAAATATTTCAGATTTAATATTTAAATAGAAAATAAACTGATGAGCAATATAAATTTAATATTCTAATCTTTTACTTATTTTTATAAATATTATGCAACTCTTAATTTAAATATACAAACTTGTTTTTCCTTCAAAGTTTTATTATGAATAAACATCAATTTAACTCACAACTTTAACAACATAATTTATCAACACAACAACTCATCAACATTGTTTAACAACACAATAGCTCATTCAACTCATATAACATATTTACACAACTACACAACTAGGATTCAGTATACAACTCTCAACTCACAAGTATATTTTCTCATCATACTACAACATTTATCATTTTTCAACATTTTATCATATATATCAATACACAACATTTTTGTCACATAATACATCTCCTATTGCATATTTAAAACTCATAATCATGCCAAATTACTCAATATAACAACATAAATAAATTTAAACACCAAAAACAACTATCAACTTAACTAAATCACTCATTGTGAAATGGCAACCTTAATATAAAATAGCGTATCGGGAGTTATAATACTCATATCATGCTCATCCTTATCTCATATGAAAGATAAGAAGATTTCCTACAACTTGTTAAGTCTCAATTATACCTATTTTTGGATGAGACTTATTGAACAATTCCACTCATCCTCTGAACCATTGCAATATAATTGTTCTCTTTTTTGTTCATTTTGTGTGCAGATATAACTAACCCAAATTTAGCTAACAATACCTTAATACACCTCATTTTTGTGCAGGTATTGAGCTAGAGAATTGAGGATTGAAGATTCTTAGGATTGGAAATCTAAGAGGCTAAGGAGCAGAGAAGAGGTTCTGCGCCGGGCGCAAGATGACCCGCGCCGAGCGAGAGAAACAGAGTATCTCACCTTTGGAAGCCATTGCGCCGGGCGTAAAATGAATTGCGCTGGGCGTGTCCTAAAGGCAGAGAGTATTTGGAAGGCCATGCGCCGGGCACATAAACCCTAATCTGACTCCCCAAGCTCGTATTTGAAGACAATTTCGGGGCTTTTCTCCTCATTCACGCAAGGGCGCCTCCTTGGAGCTGTAGAAGGGATTCTCAAAGCTTGGGAACGTTCGTGTGTGGATCTTTCCTTCGGTTTCTTCATTTCTCTCTTCCATCTCTATTTTTGCTTTACCCTCATTGTTGAGTGGTTCTACCCATTTTTGTGGAGTTAGATGTAACCAACGAATTCTAATGTAATCCTTACATTTTAATGATATATATACATGTTGTTTCATTCTTTGTTGTGTACGTTTCTATGCTTAATGCTTGCTTTGGATTGATCACCCTTTGCATGATTTAAGGTTCCATTGAGTATTGGGAAATACCATTGAAACTAGTTCTGAAACATGTGCCTAGTGGGGATTGTATCTAGGGATAGAGCTTTACCCATTAGTAGTCTTAAACCCTAATCTGTAATGTGGGTGTAGGTATTGAATACTCAAGGGATTGATATTCATTATCCGTACCTAGGCTCTTTCTTTAAGGGATTAGGTTTGAGTAAACTTATGGGTTGACTAAGCAATGTATGTAACAAGAGATTAAGGATTCATTAGTCTGACGTTTGGTGAAATCTGACCCCACAACCTCACAATACCATTATACCATTTCTTATCTTTTTCACTCACAATCAACTATTTTTGTAGTTTAACATTCCAATAGTCACAACCTTGAATTCACATGACAAACTACGAATTTGGAATCATTCTTTAGTCACGAATAGTCAATAAATGCTTATTTTACCTTCTAATCCCTGTGGATACGATATTTTTACTATTTGAACGGCCGGTATACTTGTCGTATTTGAGACCGTTGACAAAACAAAAGTAATTTAAAGTGATAACAAAAATGGTTTTAACGGAAATCTCAACACAACTCTTATGAAGACATCAAGTCCTAATTCCATCATCAACTTTGTTAAAAATTATAAAAATTGCAACAGTTATAACCAATGCTAACAATTTGACTCATGTTCACTAAAACAACTATATCTAGAGTTATAGACCTTCTTTTTTGGTGATTCCAACGCCATTTGAAAAGTTAAGATCCAAGGCTACAACTTTCATGAAGACCACAAAGTCAAATTTTGAAAGCACAAAAGCGCTCAGTGCCTCCAAAGCGCTCAATGCTTCACAAGCGCTCAATGCTTTACCTCCAGGAATTATCTCCTGACACGTGGCCCCCAAAGGGCTCGGCCGTTGATGACAGAAACACATAAGTTCTTCACCATTTTCACCAAAACCAGAAATGCGAATGCACCCAAAACATAGAGAATCATCAATGCAAGAGGGCCCAACACAAGAAATCATACATTTTCAACACACAACACAACATGCAACTTAAAAATCATCAAAAAAGCCACATGCATACCTTAAACAACACAAATCCATCATATTTTCAACTCTTCCCCAAAACTCAACTTTCCAACTTTATTTCTCAACCATGGTTGAGAATCCTATATGTTTCTACTTGAAATCAACTCAACAATGCAACACTATATATTTCTACTCCACATTTCTAGCTTTCCTTACCTTGGAGAAGAAGAATCCGAGCTTCAGGAAAAGAAGAGAACAAGTTTCCACACGACTCTGGATTTTTCCAAACTTCAAGCTCTTTGGCACCAAAAGCTCAACTTTTCCTTAGCTCAATCTTCAGAAAACAAGAAGATGAGGAGAAAAAGATTTGGTTTCAACCAAAAACAAAGAAATGAAAAGTAAAAGGAAGAAAGGAGTTGCGGGACTTACATTCGATGATCTCAACTAATTTTGATATAATAATAATAATATATTTAATTTATAAAAATAATAATACTCAATTATATATCTTATAGAAGTTTATTAAATATTATGTAATTGAGGACCACTTAATATATTTTGGCAGGGAGTTCAATCTTGGGAGATTGCAAACTGATACTCTAATAAGACTGATGCCAAACGACCACTAGCCAGATGTTAGTGCTTAGCAAAGAATAAATGAGTAGTTCTTTTCAGAGCACCGGCATCGATCTTGTGGACCCCATATGCATTTCACTTCCATTTTCCACCACACTTTTTCCCAACACAACCACACTTACAAAAGCATCATACTCCTTCCTTTCGCATATACTTCATCACCATTCCTTTATCTACCAAATTAGCTTCTGCCTGCAAAATTACTATATACTCGCAATAGTAAAATAATTGCCATCTCATGCCCAACACAGTTTCTATTAACTACTATCTCCCGTTTTTATTTATTTATTTATTTATTTTATAAAAAAACAACTATAGAAAGTGGTTGTATGAGTCTTTTCTTTTTTCAAAGAAACTCTTTATAATGTTCAAGAGAATATTCAATAGCCATAGGGAAAAAAAATTATGTTAATTTGTAACTTACAAGAATAATGAAATGAAAGCCATTAAAGTTTGGATTTAATTGATTTGCTATAAAATGACCCAATTTATTAACTTTGCCGGTTTTCCTCTCAAAAGCAATCTGCTTGTGTCAACTCTAATTTTTAAGGATTGTGACACCTTAATTGTTGTGAGAGGTATATGCCTTTCAAATAAGATCAATGTCTAGCTCGTATTTATTATCTGTTTTTACTGGAAAGGTGTGAAAAATATATATGAAACAAAAATTATCCAACGTCAAACATACACTTAAGAAAACAATAAAATTTTGCTAACAAAAATTACATGTTACGTCCATGTCGACTGTCCAAAACAAACGGGATAAAGATGTTTAATGTTGTATAAATAACGATTAATTTAATGTATACAAAGAGCATCTTCTCTAGTATCATTGAACAATTAAAAATTATATACATCATATGGTATTATTTTGCATTTCCACCAATGAAACCCGTTTGTCGAAGATAAAATTGAATACCTATTATGAGTCAGCATCGAATCTCGCAATACAATTAAAATAACCATGAAAATAAAACATTAGAAATACCAGATACGTTTGTGATTGAGAGAGAAAAATATCAGCACAATGTGAATGTGAGGGGCATATTATTATTTTATCTGCTGGTTATACTGTAAAACTTATTAATTATTTGATGCGTACCTCACACTCGCACGTGACCCACTTTTGTGTTACTATTATTATGTCCTGGATTAGATTATGAGTATTTTTCCAAATTTTATATTACCTCACTTTTCCAATTATGGATTAAAAACGCTATTAGTTTTTTTTTTCTTTTTACCATTAAGGTTAGAAATAGTGTACAGAGATTTTTTTATTTCACTATAAATCTTTGT